ATTTCTATTGTAAATTCGTACTGCTAATTTAACAATACACTTTTCTGAGTTATGGGGTGGTCTTTTTATGCGCTCCATACTTGGCCTAATCGAGAAAATACTAAGAACTTTATAGATGTTATTGTCTCTTTAAATAACCAATAGCTGTGCTTGAACAAACTTAATGCGGGCTACAATTGTCTGTGATCTGATCATAGAACTAAATAACAAATGCAAAGATCGCTAAAGATCTAACCACAGATGTTCATCGCTTGAATACGAAACGATCATCGAGAATTGCCCACTAAATTCACAGTGGGAAATTAATTTTTCTATTAATGTAATTATGATTATTAATATTTACGCTTACGCTAGACTCGTATGATATAACTTTGGCATTTAAACTTCCCAATTTTTTAAAACATGTTCTTGATAAAGCTAATAATAGAATAAAAGTTCTTTAACATCGGGTATCAATTAGAGTATTTCATTTACGAAAGTAACATAGAGCACTTAAATATTGTTTTTGCTTATTATATAAGTACATTAATAAGTGTATCATAATAGCTCATTTTGTCACGAAATTACATTTAATTTTTCTAGTTCTCTTTTCCTGTCGTGTGTATGCCACTTGCTAAACAAATAGATCAAATAAATATTAACATTCGAAGGGAATTGTGCTCTCATGGGTAACAGCGCAGTACAAGAGATCCAGCGGATTAAAGAGTGGTTGAACAGAAGACATCCAATCTACATGACAGAAGCAAATCGAAATAAACAGCAGTTAAACGTAGAAATGGAAATGAATTGCACAACTTGAGAAGTAGAATCGAATCGTTACTGCCATAACTCTACCTCCGTTCGTGAAACGTACACTTTACCCGTAGGCAAGTCAACTGGTTCGTCGGTCTCTCTGAAGAAAAATAATAAAGTAACAAATACCTCTGTCACAAGCCTGTTCGCAATTTCTTCCAACGAAACCAGTCCTGTTGCAAGGGCAAGTACAAGTACGTGCCAATTAAGCCACTATGACTTAAGGCTTTTATTATGAAGTCTAAGAGTTTCAGACCTTGTTTAGCAATAAAATGAAACAGTATTTAAATTTCAATTTCAATGTTCAAAGAGTCAATTCATAAACTATAAATGAGTAATACTTATTCGCAACCGGAAGTCACGTAGAAAGCTGAGCGAACTTCAATGAATAATTTCCATTCGTACAGCAAAGGAATATTTAAATTTGTTCTGCGTTCTGTGTTCATTACCGCACATTTAATGGTTTCTAGCCGGACGATAAGACAGTAGAAACGCATGCTCACACAAGCTCCGCGCCATTACACAGTCACAAAAGGATCTAAAAGTCGTAATACTACTTTGTGTTAATTGTAATGAACCCAACCTGTAACTGGGGGCAGAGAAAATTTAAACACAATCTTACAGCAGTCTTCTATTCACAATTTTCTCCGAATTGGTACATCGTTTTTTGTTTTATTTTGGGGCGGGGGGGGGGGCATTGACAAAATTTATCCGCAATCGCTCGTCAAATCACAAAACAGCACATACGAAAATTCGATACAACAAAACCCATGCGTGAGTTTTAATGAAAGAAAATATCCCCTTGGTCTCAAAACGGCATGAGAAAAATTAAAGTTTATAAAAGGAGAGCTCCAAGGCGGCGAACATTTCTTGTCGATCATCATTCATCATTCCATAGCTCTTTCTTTCGTTCCAATACATATTTCATATCATTGGCATTTCTGACTGAATTTTAAGTAAGAAAAGAAAATCCGTGATAGACTGGAGTTATGTTAGCAACACATAATTTACGTGAACTTAAATACGGTAATATCAGTGCCGCTATAACAAAAAAATCATATTATAAAACAGAAAATCAAATTGTGAGGGTGTGAAGAGGTTAACTCTGTAGGGTGCGACGTGTAATAAAAAGAAAGAATAATAGAAATTAAATTGAAAATTTTTTTCTGGTATTTGAAATATTGGACGCAGATCAATAATCCTGGAGACCATATTTACAACTGAAATTGAATACTGGTATACGTGATCACCTCCATAGAAAGTTTGTTTTTGTCAAGGATTTGACTCTTACTGGCTGATTTAGTTGGCTGAGGTGTTATGAAGTAAGGTATGTGAAGTTAATACGACCAGGTTAAGCCCCTCAAATTTTGATGTTTATATATTTCAACTTTCGGCCAAATTAACATCATCATGATGAAATTTAACACTTTTGTTTGAAGTTCAAGTGGCTATATCACCAAATGATAAAGCTAGCCAGCCACCAATAGCTATATAATCAAGTGATTCAGGAATATTTTGTCGTTATTTTATAAAAACATTGTAAATTGAAGGTAATTTGTATATGTTGTAATTTGTAACATTGTAATTTGAAAATGCCCGCAGGTTTTATGGCCATTGCCAAATTAACTTGTTTCTTGTAGCATGACCATGGAACTAAGGCTAGCTATACAAATATATCATATAAATTACACTCTTCAGTCTAATCTTACAAAAATACGCCCTCAAATAAATCCACTTTTAAAACAATATCGCGAGAGTTTATAAGAAGCTTATAATAAGTTATAATGGCAGAGCCCCTTCTGCGCGTTCTTGACAGTAAAATCTAATAAAGTTGCCTGTGTCGTCTATCCTCAGAAACAAATAGTTACATAAAAAGTATTGATAAAAGAGCTTTTTTTAAAATGTGTGCTTCATTGCATTTGCAGGCTTAAATATCGCAATAAAATGAAAAAATATCATTATAATGAATCATGCTTTAAGGATGCACTTGGAGCGGGAATGGCAGTAGAACAAGAGCAGTACAGCGTATTAGCACTTAGGTGTCTTACAGAGGCCTAAAATGTGGATTTTCCTAGAATTCTTCCAGAATATTCTAGAAAGAACGCTAGCTAAAAATAAAGCCAAGCGATTCGGCCCATCAAGACCAATCGAATGTGATCACCTCCGTAGGTGGCTTTGAAATTCCCCAACACCCTGCCAAGTGTTTAATCCCTACTTCCAAAACGATTTTTGATAATTCATTGAAAAACTATCATCAATCTGATGAATGAATACGTAACTATTGAAGTAAATGCCGGAAAGAGAGTAGAATATAAAGTCCCAGTATTTCACTAATGCTCCCGCAGGTGCATTGAAATAATTAAAACGCTTGTTTTTCTAGAATTATTCCAGAATTCGCTAAAGGGAATAGAATAAGAATTGTGCCAAGCAATTTGCATGGTCAAGAGAAATCTAATGAGCGATTAATCCCCTACGTAGGAACCGTAAATGATCCAAAACGAGTTGTAGTTGCTTAAAACAAAACACGTTGTTAGAGAAATTTCTTAGAATATTATAGATTGATTCGGACGGAAATTATCAGTTCCCCACTAGGAGGCGAGACGCGACGATCGAAGTGGTCTAACCGTGAGGGGCAGACGAACGGACAGACGGACGGACGGACGGACAGACGGAGGTTACTCCATTTAAGAGTATCAACATGAAACGAAATTTTGAAAATACCTGGTGTAATCATATTCGCAGATCAACACAAGCAATTCTGTCATCAAACCTAGTTAATGTTATTCTCCAATATTCAAAGTTAAATATTACAAGCAACACTTGATGAGCATTGTAACGCGAAATGGAACGATACGTCTTTGATTCCGCTTGACTTACACAGCCCTCCCGAGCAAAGAAATTGGCAACACCACCGACGAAGCAAGCCGAGACATGCCGGCATCGGGGGCCGAGGAGAAAGAGTAAAATGGTTTATTGGGATTACTCAATCGCTTAAGCCGTATGTCGGGATGGGCCCCAGTTTTGTACACCAAGTCGTAAATGTACAGCTTCCTTCTCTCATAAAAAATGCTACTATATACTCTGTATGTATGTAAATTCAGTGATTAGGCGGAAGGGTAGGCCTTGGGGCCTGAGCCTCGCCATTAATAAAGGAATTATTATTATTATTATTATTATTATTATCAAAAGAGGAGAAAAAGAATGGAGGCTGAGCGAGGGGCGGATGTTGGGAGAAGAACGTTGAGCAACATGGCGAGAATAATGAAGAGGATGAGGATGCTGAGAACCGGATAGGAGGTGGGGTGGAATAGGAGGAAAATACTGGGAAAAGAAGAATGAATAGAAAAGCAAAGAAGGAAGGGGAAGAGATGAAAGGACAGACGAAGGAGGAAGCGGAAGAAGAGGTGGATGAAAAGCCATGAGATTAAGAAAGAGGAGGGGGGAGGGCGAGGAGAAGGAAGAGCAGAGATCTTCTGCCTAATTAGCAGCGCCGGAACGCTGATTTGTGGCGCTAGGCGCCTCGTAACGGAACGCGGCCTGACGTGGCGCGGCGCCGCGGAGGCGAGCGGACGGGTTTCGGTGCGTCCGAACCGCTCTACGATTCGCCCTCCGCCCCCGCGCCGCTCATTCCTACCCTCTCACGGGGCGCCACCAACGTGCATCTCAGGTACGAACACCTTGCAAGTGCACACGTTCACCACGTTTGTTTACCTGTATATACGATGTTTGGAAGCAAAATATAATTATGAAACACAAATGGCAAAGTGATGGGATTCAATTCAACCGGGGCCATTGTACAAAACCAAAATCACATAATAAAATGGTAATTTTTTTCTGAGCCAGTAGCGATTCAATACTCATCACCAAACCCAATTGCAAATGTTGTTTTCAGAGTGAGAAGAATTTTCAGTTCTGGAAGTTTCAGACTATTCAGCAATTTTTTTCCCTCCCCAAATGTATGATTCTCTGGGTCACCTTGGCCCCGACACAGATTCCTGAGCGGCGGACGTCGACCTCGGCCGCGCGAAGTGCGTCGCACGAGATCGCACGCGCCACCGCCGCAGCCCAGAGCCCGCCCGCCCCGTGGGCGTGCTGCAGCGCCCTCTGTCGTCGGGCGCGGACGCTCGCGCGCTGCCCTCCGGCCCGCCGCGCGGTGTGTCTCTGTAACGCGAAGGAGGCCGGCCCCCGGACGCGCGTGCACCCAGCTCTGATAATGGCCCCAGGAATACAGTGCAATTGGCACGGCCGCAACGCCTAGTATAAATAACATCGCGTGAGACTGCTCGTCTTTGTGCATGCAAGGTATCCACCTACGCTGAAATGTTATTCTTTCATGTTTAAACTGTGTTATTATTTGTCAATGGGGGCATAATAAAAGGAGTACTTTGACTTGGATCTTTCACGCAGGAAATTTGTAGCGAGAAATGTCTTAGTTATATTATTTATTAAATTGATTACCCTCCGTTGCCCGATATTTACTTATCCACCGTTCTGCCAAGACTGACGTGCCCACATCTCCCGCCCCGGCCACTCAGACCCTTCCCGCTCATGATGCTCCACACGCTTCGTTCGCTCTTTCCACTATGCTCACTCCCGTTTGGTCATTTTTCCTCCTCCGCCTCCATCTGCTCCTTCTCGCTTCATTCAATTTTTCCGTTTATCTTGTTCCCTTCGCCCATTTTGTTCCGCCCGCTCATTCCCACTCCCTCTTTCTCACTCCCGCTCCTTCCGTCCCACCCGTTCCGCTCTCTAGTCCCGGTTCCGCCAATTCTACCCCCCTCCATTCGGGCGCGTTCAGCACCACCCCGCATCACCCAGCAACGCCCAACAACAATCATATATCATTTATCATATTACATCATATCATATCAACCCTCAGATACATTGGGGATTACATTGAAATATTCAGGGGTAATTTTGAACCGCAACTATACTGATTTTAATTATTTGCGGTTCAAAAAGTATTCGTACCAAATTCGATAGCCATTTAATTATCTGTGGCAAACTCGGGAATATTTACTTTCACTTGGGTTCTTTCACAAACACTCTGCATTTTCTACTCTTCCATTGATCGATTATTTTGCGTTTCCGCACGCGTCAACTACTATGAGACACTAGTACCAGCACGTTGTTTGATGTATTCCGGCAGGTGGCGGGGTTTGTCCCTCTCTGGGACGTGAGATCCGACAATGATGTACACGTCGGCTTGCGGGGTTTCCAGGGTTTGCTCGTCTAGACATCTCCCCCAGCGGGGAATCGCCCCAGCCGGGACGAGCTCTAAGCTCCCGACCGGTCTCGACTTGTGTGGTGATGTATTTCATGTAAGGTTATGGTTACTTGACAAACCGTTATGAGAAATATGCAACTCGCTATGCATCTAGGCGCGGCGTTGCTGGGCGTGGTCGAGTGACGCGAGACTGGGCAGTCACGGGGAGGGGGGACGAGTGGAGCGGGCGGAGAGGGTGCAACGTGCGTTGCGAGCGGGACTGCTTACTTGTCCGAGAGAGAGAGAGAGACAGACAGACAGACAGACAGATAGACAGACAGACAGATAGACAGACAGACAGACAGATAGACAGACAGACAGACAGATATAGATAACATCAGGCAATCAGCTAGTTAAAGACGGGGTGAAAAAAAGCAACGGGAAATCCATTTCAAAATATTCTCTTCAAATAAATGACAAGAGGAAAAAAAACATACTATTTTCTTCTGATGTGTTGCAACATTAAAAACTTCTCCACAGTTTATATAAACAACTATTTTTCGGTCAAGCATATATAGCCAGATTAGTGCCCAAGATATTTTTTTTATTTGTATCTCCAGACTTATCCCTATTATAAGATTGGGTTCTGCCATTTTCAGTAATTGAGCTACATCACTTATTGAAATATAAAGCATACAGTCAGGATGCAGATTTCAGTATTTACATCATATGGACGTTAGAAACACATGTGTAAATATTTAAATCCGCTTTGAATCTCGCCCAGCGATGTTTAGCTTCACATATTTCATCTAGCGGCTCCCTAGAGTAGATTTGAAAGCATCTAATACATTTATTTATTCTTTATTTGCTTTAAAGGAAGACTGATGTGCGGCGAGACGGTGCGACGACCGTAGTTCCGTAGTCGTTCAGGTCATCGCACGCTTTTGCCCGGCCCCTCCCCCTGCGAGCTGTGTGGACGTGATATAGTGCATGGAGACCGATTGGGGCCGTCCTGCGGAATGAAAATGAGGATGGGGCGGGCCTTAGAATGATAGGTAGCGAAAACGGGATTTCCTTTTGGAAACCTGCTGGAGGCCCGCTTTGTCCCCTCACAAATTCAACATGTTGCGGCCGAGCTTCTGTCCCCGGACCTAGAACAGGAAGGCGAGCGAACTGATTGCTTTGCCACACAGTTGTCCGTTGAGACAAATGAACTGCCATATTCTGTTGCGCGACGCGTGCGGCTCGCGCCGCCGAGAGGATGTGCGAGGAGGCGGCGCCGGGAGGGTAGGAGGGAGGGGGCGTTGGCGGCGGGCCGCGGGGCGGCCGGGGCGCGTGCCTCCCGCATGCCTCTCCGCGCGACTCAGCCCCCTCCTCAGCGCAATTACCTTTCCGCGCGGCTGGCGCCGCCGCCGCCGGGGTCAGGGGTCACGGGTGCGAGCCCCGGGCCCCGGTCCTGGGCCCAGGAATAGCGCGACGAGGTGACCGGGCGAGAGACCGGGCGGGCACGCGGCCCGGAGCCGCCTCCTCTTCCTCCTCATTCTCCCCCTCCTCCTCCTTTTCCCCTCCCTTGCACACCGAATCCTCTCCCGTGACCGCCCGCAACCGTTTATCGCTGGTGTCTTCGTCGTAGCTCTTGCGTGAGTGCCGCGTTCACGCGAAACGACTCTTAGATCACGTACGACATCTTTCTTTCTCTACATGCCCGGCAATTCTTGCATTACAGGCATATCCACTTCAATACCGTATCGGCCACAATATACTTCCAAGAGGTAGATCTCTGACTGTCGTACATCTGCTGACAAACCACGTGCATCGGTCTCGTACACATCTTCTCTTGTCTACCTGAACTCACTCCGGTCTTGTCTCGTTCCCACACCAGTCTCTGCTACCCTTAGGTTTTATCATATACGTGGCATGTGGTCGTGTGACATCCGTTCTCACACTCGCACTTCTCCCAAACCTTTCGTCGTCCTCATCTGAGCAACCTAAAGCCCCTCTCGGTTGAGTTGCAGATGACCCTGCAGTTCGTAAACAGCCTCCAATACCTCCTCAGGCCTCCTTCCGAATTCGCATCTACGCTGGTTGTACCTTCGCCTCTGCTACCATCGCCGTAGTGACGTGTTTTGCCTCTTTCTCCTCTTCCCCTCCTGCTTTTCTCTGCCCTCACCCGCAGCATATTTCGTGTTGCGTTCGTCCTCCTCTTGTTCCTTCTCTTTCTAAGGATAGTTAGGATCGAGATGTGGTTATATTGTTAACGCAGTCTTTCTCCATCGCCTGGCGCCTCTGCCTCCGTCTCGCGCCAGCGGCTGAGGGCGGGGCGGGGCGGGGCGGGGCGGCGCGGTGGGGTGGGCGTAGGTCCCAGCCTCGTTGAACTGCGGGGTCGCAGATGCCGCTCGCCAACGCGGCCTCGGACCTGCCGGGCGGGTGGCGGTGGACGAGCCGCGCTAGGCAGCCGCTGGCCGCGACGGTGACAGCACGGCCAAGGAGGCGCTCTGCCCTCCCCCACGAAGATCTGTCTGATGAGACGAATTGGACCTTAGCAAGAAATTTGTCTTCCTCGTCTTCAAAGGGTGCAAGCAGAGATCTTTTGAATTTTTCGTCCAGCAATCTTATGGTTTTCCTTCATAATAATATCGCATTAAATATTAAAATTATTATAAAAATGATTCTGACAGAATAGATTTATGAGATTAATGAATATGCGGGGTTGTGACTGGTGAGAAAGACTATGTACGATCAGTTTGTCCATTCTGCGGCCAATAAACACTATTGTACTAACAATACACAATGTTCTAAAAATACTCAACAGTTTCCATTTTGAAGAGACCGGCAAAGGTGGCTCAGGGCATCAACTGATGACACTGCAGTGCTTCTGAACGGGAGGTCCAAGGATTCGCTTCTCAACGTTCACACGATTTTAGATACTACCTTGTCAGTTAGGGCGAATTCAGCCGCAGCCTGGATGAGAATTCCAGCGGCTGGCTGCTCTGATCGGCAGTTTTCCGTAATTTCTCCGATCAACACCAGGCGAATGCCGGAGCAGTACCCTCACAAACGGTCCACAGACCGTGCGCGATTTGTCCTTCCTATTCCTTCTCCACCTTCACTTATTCACACTTACACTCGGTTGCACTACACTGACACACTTGTCGGGAGACCAGTCGGAAACTTAGTGCAAGTCCTGGTAAGGCGGTGCCACGCTGTTGGGGGATATCTGATTGAAGAAAAAACCTTCAAGTCGACATAGGTCTGCGCCGGATCTCGCCAGCCAGCGGGGGAAGATCACTACTATCCACAGGGGTTGAGGTGAGATAGGGAAATTGGCAACACACTGCCAGGCCACTTGGAGCGCTAGTGGAGAGAATATCAAGCAATGATTAGTGCTGTTCGTTTGTTTTTTGTGAATCACATCCCTGCATGCGATTTCCACATGGCGGAAGAGTGAATCAGATTGCCGTTAGTTACGTCCATGAGTTTCTTTAGTGTTCTGTGCGTTCATGTGTGTGTTTCGCATTTCAAGATATTTTGTTTTAGCGGACACAATCGCAACAGTTTCGAGTTTTCTCCATTTCGATTTGCTGGTCTTAATGAAATACAAGGATGTTGTGTAATGCATACAAGGTGGGCATTTAATTTAATGTGTCATTCACGATTATTTGTAAGAAATTTGTAGCCTTCAATACCACTATAAGGAAAACATGTATGTTTATGTAATATAATGATTTATTATTATTTGTTGTTTAATGTAATGCTTTTAAATAATGTTCATGAATATTTGTAAACATTTCTAGAATACAAATGGCCATTTAAATAATTTGGAGAGAAGGTTTCGCTCTAATTCCAAATTACCAGATGATACATTGTTTTGTTAAGTGCATTTATCGGAAGAATTTATTTTTAAAAAGTACGTACGTTTTTTAATATACTAATAAGTAATAGATGAAAAACAGAAAATACAAACTAAAAGAAAATACATAAAAGGTCATGAAACGGTGAAAAAATTTAAAATGTTGAAGTCTGTATTGAATATTGTTTAATATAAATTGTACAATAAAGACAATGATTTATGTATTTATATACTTCTTTGTTATTCATTTTGATTCCTTCATTTCTGTCATTACCTTATAATTAGATGAATCCCTTCAGATATGAGCTTACCCAAGAGCATTACGAAAATAGATAATTATATTTTAGAAAAATTGCAGTAGAATGTAGCCTATTAATATCCATTAACTATCGCGAAGACGATTGAGTGAAATTAACATTCATACGCTGCGCTGGGCAGGAGGTTCATTATCTTTGCCAGGTGACTTGTTTACGACGTTTAACACTACTATACTTTATTATTCTGTGCCACTATCTCCCGTAGAAAAACATGCACTATTCTTACGTAACTAATGACCGTAGCAGTTGACATTCCCGCAACCACTAATCTTTAATCAAACCATTTTGAAACTTCTGGGAGCCCAAGACAATAATTTCCCATTCTGCAAGACCATGATTCGAAATGCACAGAAGCATCAAAAAGTACTTCTATTTTTAACTTTGAATGATTAATTTAATATAACGATATCTTAATGCCACATGTCTGTCAATGACAATGTGACATCCGGCTACCGTGTAGCTGGGTTACCCTATGGGCAGGAAAAACAAAATAAAAGAGACGAAGCAACAGCAGAGAAACGTCCCAGGAGAATGGGCCAAGAGACGTTACACGTGTCGGTGCAATACGATAGAAACGTGCAGATACGTCCCTTCTCTTACCTCATTAAACAGGAAAGATACAAAACTAAATACTGTTTTAGGTCAATCTATCCCTAGGACCGTTTTCTGCAAGTCGTTATACTTATGCATAATTAAATTAAAATGTATGAACTTTTCAATAAATATTTCTGTAAAGAAGGCAAGAGTTTACAAAAAATACACGCTTTCACCCTAAAATAAGTAAAATTTAATTTATGTTAATACTTACATGAAAGAAGCATAAAAGTGTAGCAAATAAGGCTCATTGACGACTTAAGCAGTAAACACCCTGCCACACGTCGCATGCGTACATAATGTAAGGTCTAATGTTTTCCGATATTTCCAGCAAGCGAGATGTGAGCAAGAAAAACCCCTTAATACATTACGACGATACGGATGTTTCATACGGAAATTTAATGTCTCATCGTCTCCCCAACATTGGTGTGTACGTACCCTTTTGTTACGAAATTATACGAAAGGGGAAGGGAGGGCGTCGAAAATGACTATTGTATGTGCTTAGTTACAGAATGCCCCCAGCTCTTTATATTTCATGTGTATAAATTGGCAATATTTTGCATACAAAATAAAATTTACGTATTTTAATAATTTCGCATACAAAATGTATTTAAGTTACTATGTAAAACTAAACACTCAAATGGTCGTTATAATAATTTTAGATAATTAATTATATGTGAGGACAACAAAAGATTTTTACTTTCATCCTATACTACGTTCCTACCTAGTAAAGAGAAATAATTGTAATGCTGCTGCAAAAATCGGCGATTTTTCGACAAAATATTTATATTGTGGAGTTTGATATCGAAAAAGTGGATACATTTTGTTCCTATTTGTAATAAAATACTTCCCGCAATGAATGAATGCAACAGATATGCTTCGTTTGAATTTTTTGAATTGGACTTTTCCAAGTTATTGCTGAGGTGCTAGTAAGGCAAAAACTGCAATATTTCGATATTAGGTAACTATTTCCAATAGTGCGAGAAAGTATGTAGTGTTGTACCAGCGCTAGTATCTGAATGAAATCTTAATGAAGGTTTTGTGTTGAACTTTGAGTTTTCGATAATTGCAAATGTTATAAATAATGCCAGAAAGTATGTGCTCTTTTAGCACCTGAAGTTCTTATATGCCATATAGTCAGAAAGAGAGATTTAATTGTAACAAGAATAATTTTTATTTGTTAAATTATTATTATTTTGTACATTTTTTCAGAGGTTCAAGAATTACTGACTTTCAGGGAGGTTTCAAGAAAGACTGACTTTTACGCTTTTGGGATAATTTCGTGTGGAGTAAGACCTAATTTCCCAAAATAATACTTTAGATTTTTATTAACAAGACCAGTTGCTGTTACTACTACTGGTGTAATACCAACTGACTCAAGTTTGTATATTTCTTTATATTCTATTGAGAAGGGAATATATATTTTTTGTTTCTGCTTTGTGTTGTGATCTGCAGGGAACATCAATGCTGAATGCTATTAGAATGCTCATTATAATAATTATTATTAATATTATTAACATTATACCTTATTATACAGGAGTTTTCTAATTTAAGACGTGAGAATATAAAACATGAATACATATATGCTTTTGAGAAAAAAATGTATAAAAAATAAAAAATAGAAAAATTCGTCCTGTATAATAAATATGTAATAATATTACGTAAAATATTAAATATTGCATCGCCTTTTTTGTTCTCTTCAATCTATTGTTTGCCAAAGAGGTCCTTGGTTTTCGAGTCCGGCTCTGCGCTCCTATTTCTTCCTCGAGTTTGGCCCTGTTCTGAGTGAGCCTTTGCGAGGGGCGATCAAATCATTGATTCACATTTTACTCAAGGTTTTTGTAAATAAAGGTTGAATTTATACATAATGAACCATTTAAATACGAATAATGAGTTCTTATGCGACTTTCGTCCCATCAGCTTAATATAACTTTTCTTGAACACTGACCTTGCTTTCCCCTCTCGGGCACAATAAACAGTTGAAAGCAAAACTAGCAATAAGCATTGATAACAACATTCCAAACACATCTTCACTGGCGCGAAATAGAAACAGTTTTCGTTTGAAGGCGAGATCTTCCATCTGCTATTTTTCAAAAAATATCTAAAGAAATGACCGAAGCAGGTAAAGATCTATCACTGGAAATATCTCGAACTCCTGAGAAAGATAGAACGCAAAATTATTGAAAACGTTGAGAAGGTATGACTGATTCTCTAGAGATTGGCATTGCTTCATAAAATCTAGTGTCCGATTTCGTAACTAACTACTCTACCCGCAATTCTTCAATCCATCGTTCAAGAAAAGTTGCGCGAGTAATTGTAGTCAGGTTCATTTTCTCTTGGAAAGTTTTTCAATATTTCACACGCTAAAATCGTTCTTTGTGCTTGCCTCGCCTCGGCTGCCAGTCACTTCCAAAATGCTTACAGTGATACGTGTGAAGTGTTTTAAAAAGGGCGATATAATAGACGTGTTTGTGTAGCAGTGTGGTGCATTGTATCAGAAGTAAGTTGAACAGTATATAGTTTTTGTTAAGTAATCATCTTGCAAATCTCATTGCGGAAGAAAAATTAGAAATTAAAGAACTAAGCAATCCAATATCTCCACTGCAATTGCAATAAAAGCATTACAGCAGAGATCAACTGAACTTTATACATTAATATTAGTTTCATTATAAATTTATTAAATTGCAGTAATTTCAGCTAATTGGAGTTGGTGCTTCTCTCTCATAAATGTTCTTCAACTAAAACCGAATTGAAAAAAAAATTTCGTTTCCAATAAACAATGTGTATTAAATATGTCGATATGCCTTTGGATGAGATGCGATCCTAATGATTTTAATAAATTGAATAAAATGTCAAAGAAATATTGATTTGAGGAGGTTGCAAATCCCGCATTTTCCCCCACTTTTCCCGATCCGCCTCTGTCGAGACCTCACTTCTTGTGAGCACGTGCCGCCACTGCATGCAACCAATTGTGAATTGCCACAAAAAAACCAAAAACAGTTTAATGCATCATTTCGTTGGTGTTTACTATTCCAAGAGACATTACTATTCAGATTACAGAAAACAAAAGAGATAGAGTGAGTTCAACTTAAGTCCAACTTTCCTTAAAAAACAATTAACCAGATCAGCGAGATTACCACTTCACAGCCGAGTGTTAGCTTTCGTTTATTTAATATAATGGATGGATACACTACAGTGACCCGAAGTTACGAGTAACTGCAAATTAGCACACCATTATACTCCTATTTCTAAGCGAGGACGTCCTCACGGGGTACGTCCATGATGATTGAAATTAATTTTATGAAATTGAAGGTAAGAAACAAAAATAGAGTGGGAGATGAGATAATTATTTTTCTAGATTTTAGGGGGCAGAGACGGGGAAACTGCTGGGAGGTTTTAGCCCATTCGCGGAATATGGTGCCAATTACAGACAGGCAGAGATGGAGGACGGAACAGATCTTTGGAAGGCGGGTTTTAGTTCTTGAAGGAGCAGCGCTGGTTTTACTGAGGTTAAAGTGGCTGGTGCAAGGGGCAGTTTAGAAGTTAGAAGAGAATTTGGAAGACAGTAAGGAAATGTAATTTGTAATTGGTTCTGTGTCCTCTGTTATACTTTATTCTGGAAGGTTTGCAAAGGTTTCAGAACGGAAGAAGCGGTATTTCCCCATATTAGGGCTGCGTACTTTCTTGAGTGACTTAGGACTGATTTATAGAGAAACAGAGAATTTTCTATCTTTGGAGATGACTTTTGTTATTAATAATGGGATATAATTTAAGTAAGGCTTCTAAGTTTTATTCAGTCTATGAATAATAAGAGGTAGCGATGTGAGACGAGTATTCAGGAGGACACCTAGGTATTTAATTGATTTATTTGAATTCAAAAATTCGAATTATTCGAAAATATCGATTTGAAATCGAACTTTCTATCAACGAAAAAGACGTGGGGATGAGGAAGCCGGAAGAAGATTCCAACAACGAAGGACTGTTATCCACTGTGGGTGCAACATCCCTGATGCTCTCCAGCTATCTGTCTCTGTAAAACGTGCGCTCTCCCCCGCCCTCTCTCGTACCAAACAGACTCTGCGAGACCTCCGACGTCCAAACAAGAACAAGACGTCAAACAAGCACACTTTCTAACGGCACCGTCGCGGCCATCTTCTATCTTCATACGTCTTCGCGGCGTGGCCTTCCCGACCGCCTGGGCGTCCCGGGCGTCACGAACGTTCGCGCCCGCTCGAGAGATACTCCTGGGAGAGTTCAATCACATAAAGAAGTCGGAGAACTTTCTATCGGTTCCGAGGTAGAAGGTGCGCTTCTGAGAAGGCTCGGACATTGAATATTCTTCTCCACACACATTGTAAAACAAATCATTCATTAATAGTTAGAAATTGGTACAATGTACGTGGTGCTAGCAACATAATTGGAGGCCGAGAATTGTTTCAAAAACAGTTGTTGATGAGATGTTATCTATCACCGCTATCAAAAGAGTTCACACTCAATATACAGAATTAAGGACTGATGACTTCAGACAAGCACTATTAAAATATGCAAAATAATATTTCATATGTTCTGCATCCATCGTTTAAATGACAGATTGGGATCTATTTTTCGGAACGATTTTTGAAGAAATGGGAAGACACAGATCATATTGGCACAGACTATTTTGAACCTACATTAATAAGTTCAACATACGCCACCCGACACTGGAAGGCAAAATAAAGACGCGGCACTTCGTTTAAACTGTCCCTTCAATATTCTCTCCTGTTGCCCGAGCGTGAAACTCAGTGCGCGATCTCCGCGGAACTCAGACGGTCACTTTCGCCGCGATCGATTCCTGCGGGCGGCGTTGGCGGAGGCATCGGGGGCTGGGGCGGGGGCGGGGTTGGAGGCGAACCGGGGGCTAGTCGAGAGCTAAAGGCAACTCGAGGCTCGGCCCTCGGGCGCAGGCCCACCCCGCGCACCTCCCCTCGCTCGGCGAATTCCGAGCGAAAGGCTCGAGAGGCAGACTGGCCCTCCCGCGCCCTTCGCCCTCGCCACGCCCCGCCCCGCCCCGCCCCGCCTCCACCTCGCCCACGCACGGCGGCGGCGGCGGCGAGTCGAGGGCAGCGGCCGGCCGATCGTTCCCATGATGCTCCACGCGCGTCCATTGTTCGGCGGAAACAATGGAGCGCGGAGGATGCGGCGGCGGCGGCGGCGGCCGGTTATCTGGGCAGATGAGTGCGGGGGAGGCGGCAGCGCGCAGAAACCGATACGGCGCCGCCGCCCCCGCGCCCCGCCCCGCTCCGCTCCGCCCCTACCCGCGCCGCGCCACGCCACGCCGCCGCTCCGGGCCGCGGGCCGGGCCGAAGTGCGCGATTTCGGACCCGACCCCGACAGGGAGCTGACCGCGCGGAGATGCTGTGGAGGGGGCTTTGGGGCGATGGGAGAGCCGACGGTGCACAATGACGATGGGCGCAAATGTGGAGAGGGCAGTCGAGGAAACAGCGATAAAGACGATCTTACAGGAGGATTGCGGCGGTAAGAGAGAAGCGAGAATAGATTACAAAAAACACTGAAAGATGAGTTGATACAGCAACGCACATAGAATTGAGCATCTACAAACACTAAATCATGTGGCAGTGGCGGGTTTAGATGATAAACATTGGTTAAAGAAGAGTAAAACAGCTAGATCATCCAATAGACAATAGATGGAGGAACTCGGTTTATTTATTTGGAAAAGTGAGATAAAGTCTAGGGCGTCACGAAGATCGGATATAATCTTAAGTAAAGGCAATTTAGCCACCAGTGGCACTTGCAACAAGGCTGGAAGTGAAAGTATTGGAATGGGTGCAAATATGATAGCGGCGACAAGGGGAGACGATGATGGCATTGAAAATGATGAAAACAACGAAGGCGGAAGTTAAGGTGGAGAGAAGGCAGAGGGGGTCAGAAAAAGGAAAACAGGAGGTAGAACGGATAAGGATGGTTAGAGTAAGGGCAAGAGTTAGGAACGGGATATTGAAGGGAGGGAGAAGATAGAGTAGGGAGTAGAGATCACAAAACAATGGATGTTAAAAACATCGTTACATATACATCAATGTTTTCTTCGGATTGATATATTTATACGAAAACATCGCTGTTTCAAAACAATTCTCATGATATATATATATATATATATATATATATATATATATATATATATATATATATATATATATATATATATATATATATATAAAATTTCCATTATCTATTTTTTTTGTGGTTTGCTCGCTATCAACTGCCATCTGTAACTGTCACAGTTGTTGATCCCCAGACGGCATGAAAGCGTTCGCTATTCGCAACCTTTCTACAGCGTAGTTACCTTTTTTATTATGTTGTATGTGGTAATGCCGTTAAATTGTATTTTGAACCTCGACAACATAGAACATCAATTAGAAAATGTAGATGACAGTCAAATTTGAAGCTGAATATACTTTAAACAAATATCGTCATTTTACGTATTACATTAGACCCATGGTATTTTATTTCAGTGATTAATGAATGAAAGTGAATCGATGTTTTGCTAAAATTTGCCATCACTTGCGGGGAAGCAGGGAGAACGATGATAAGGGAGGAGGGGGTGAAGGGTTGTAAGGGGTGGAACAGGTGGATGGAAGTCAGATAGAGAGGAGAGTAGGGCGCAGTCGGGAGGAGATGGCGAAGCAATGCTGTGCTGTGCTGAGGATGGACACATTTACAAGGAAGGTGGAGAAGGAACAAATGTGTATAAAGGAATGTGTTATCAGTAAAAACTCTTATAATGATAGAAAAGAGTAAAGTAGGAAACAATACGTTAGTAGGATAATGTAGATTGTAGAGAGATGAATAATAACTAAACTGGGAATGATAAAAGAAAATGAACTGCAATGAGAAAAAGACACGAAACACCACTGACATGTGCAAAATGTGCAAAATATGCTTTGTGTAGGAGCCGAGCTTTGAGTTAGGGATAGTGATCCACACATTACTATTTACCTCATTCGAGAGAACCTCTTCTATTATTTTGTTTTGTCTTGCGTAAACATACAACTCACGTAGGAGTCGTCTTATTACAGCAGGTTATCGTCGATATGCACACAGTGAACCCTGGTAAGATGGGAGATAGGCGTTTCTTGTTGCGGATATCGATACAGGATCATTGGAAATGCGATACCCGTACTTTAACGTGCCACACAATACATACGACTTTGAATGTCGACAATAGAATCTTATTTTTGCAAACAGAAACCAGTAAGTAATATGGGTTACACCAATGAACAACAATGAAGCCATAATATATTTCCCATAGCATTGAAGTAGAAATGAATACAGAGATTGAGGGAAAAATCGAAAAGCCACCTAGCTATACATGGTAGATTACAATAGTATTAAGTACTAAGATCTTGAATACAACAAACATCGCGGGAATGTATTCATTACTTCCAGGGACAATGTGTAAACAAATGCCTAGCCATTCATGACTTATTCTGACTGACTTGCACATTAGATCTTAGAAAGAGAAATATCTCTTGGCTAATAAAAAGGATACTTGCGTTTTATTACCTCTATTTTGTAGGACAAGTGCTTCTATGTAAAAGCCTATATTGTCATTTTTGTAAATTGTCTTTTACAATATATAGGTTGGTTGGTAGAGATTCCGGGCAAGTCAACTAGAGAGGTCATTAGTCCCGTAAGTGAAGTGCATGTATTTCCTCAAAAAGTGGCGAAATTCGGCGCCGACCTACTGTCGGATAGCGGGGTTTTCCCCAACCAGGTATATCCGTCCCAGCCGGCACACGTTCTGAGAACCAGGCATGTTTGGTAGTATAGTACATGTTAGTGTGTGTGTGTGTGTGTGTATAATGGGTAAAAATAGAGCAAGGCAGAGGAAGGGAAGATCGCGCGCGGTCCATGGCTCCTCTGTTAGGGTACAGATCCGGCATTCGCGTGATGTTGATCGGAGAAACCACGGAAAATTACCTATCAGAGCAGCCGGCCAATTCTCCTTCAGGCAACGACGGGATTCGACCAAGCTGAGAAGCTAATATATATATATATATATATATATATATATATATATTATATAATAAATTGGTTCATTACATGCGATTATCTAAATGTTCATATTGCAAGTACATAGTGTAGGAGGGTCACGAACCTCCAGGTTACTCCCAATCCCAGGCCACTTTGGAATTTTTTCTTGTCAGAAGATGACAGTTGGTTAAAAGTGTCCACCAAAGAAGCAATATTGGAAACGGAGTGAAATGGATCAATAGAAAAGCAGAAATTGACATAGCAATGCAATAGAAATGATAATGATGGTTAAAATGCAGGAGAAAACAAATAGTGTTCGTTTTGGCCAAGGAGGCGATGTCGGTAATGAGGATGGCGCAGGTGATGATGTAGGCAGAGGCGGTGGCGGTAGCAGGGGCAGTGACATTGATAGTAACGGTGGTACTGATGCGGTAATGGCATTGTTGGTGTTTGT